CTCCTCCCTTTTGTCTAACTTAGTAGGCCGAAGCCTACATTCCAACAGTTTTGACCTTTCGAATTCCTTTGATCTTTTACTCCTTTAAATTCTTGATTGGATGAAAAACCATAGCAGTTTTGTCAAAGTAGCTGCAAGTATAGAACTTTAGGATTAGGCCAAAGTAATCTTGGGTTCATAAAATTTCCATGAAGCTAGTAATGTTGAGTTCATACGTTTACATGAAGTTTTAGCTTTCTATATTTGCAGAAGGTTGTTAGATTGATATGAACATTGTGAGCTGTACCATAATAATACCATCTGTTGCTGGTACCTTCTTCATGTCCCATAACTAAGCTCGGGGTGGTATTGATGCTAGTGAAGATATCCTTCGTATGGAGCTGGAGCTACTAACTAGGATGAATGCACTAATTATGGATATGATGCCTGAAGATGAAGAATGAAGCATTACACAGAGTATTCCCGTCCGTCATCTTGTGTTTTTGTGTTTTATGTGTCCGTAACTCTTCCTCAGCCAGGATGATGCGGAATAGCAGAACAAGTACAAGTGCTTTTGTTTTTCCATCTATTAGTCCTCCAATCCCAGTCAAAATATCTCTATCTAAAACAAGTCCCATGTTAGTAGTGAAGGGAATTCATGTAGCGTCAACCCGACCTTACTACCCTTTTTTTGCTTGTCAAAAATCACTCGGCTTTTCCACATCTAGGTATTTATCGACAACTGGGAGTCCTGAATTTGTTTGGCCAACCAAACTCTTAATAGTTCCATTAAAAGGCAGCCTCTGAATCGTTAAGAGGTGAATCTTGTTTGGCAAAAAAAAAGTCTACTTCTTAATGGTTCTAAAACCCTCTGATTGATTTTGTATCCTGGGCCTCCCTTAACCATTCAGCGCCCTAATTTCGTTGTAAATAATTACCAAACGATTATATTTCATTTTGCACTATATCATGAGAGCCTCTTAATCATTATACATCAAACCATTCAGCAACTTCCAAACAGCCAATATTCTTTTTATGCCACGGTGCTGTCTCATGCTTGTAGTTACAAAACTATGTGCTAACAGAAAACCAAATGAACCATCACGAAATCAAGAAAAATCAATGCTTTCCTTCCAATGAAAAACTCCTTTCAGTTGCTCATTATAAAACTGCCTCAGCCTTTTCGTTTCTTTAGTCCTTTCTCTCTATATTAAAAGCTCCATGGCTAGGGTGAACATGTTTCTCTATCTCTCAAGCTTGATACTTGACCTCCTCCTCATCAGCCCTGCTGCCATTGTTGGTCATAACTCAGTAAGCATTTGATTTTAGGTTTTGCTAGTTTATTTCTTGTTTGGCTTAATTTTTTTTATATTGAATAACAATTTAGATTTACAAATAGCTATCAATTGTGTCTATTCTATCTCTCAAGCTTGATGCTTGGCCTCATCATCATCAGCCCTTTTGCCATTGTTGGTCATAACTCAGTAAGCACTTGATATTAAGTTTTTCCTGTTTATTTCTTATTTAGCTTAATTTTTTATGTTTAATAAAAAATTTAAATCTACAAATAGCTATCAAATTATGTCTATTTATTCCATGTGTTTGTGCTGAAACAATTTATTTTTAAAGAGGCACTTGGATGTTATTTCGGTTCAAACTCTTAACCTGTCCATTGGTCTTTCGTAGTTACCCTATTACTATATATAGAAATCAGATTGTATAACCTGACCTACCCCATCGGGCCCTTAATAGGTCTACGCTCGAGTGAACATTGTGGGTTATTTTCTTTGCTTTTTAACTTTCAAGTAGTGATACTCTCTTCAAAGAGAGCATCATTGGCAGTTCCACATAGACGACATTGCACATGTTAAGATCTTAATTTATCTCTGTGTATGCTTTATTGTAGTGTAGGAATGTAGTATATAGAGCCTTATTTGGTTGTAACCGGTTTACTTTACGTTCCGACATTGAGAGAACATGGCTGCCAAACTTTCGACAGTTGGGATGGCAACTTTTTCTGTCATCCTTTTGTAGTCCTGTGCTCTTGTGAGAGGGGAAATCTTTCTTCAGCAGGGGCACTACAAATTTCACGTAATTTAAAAATCGTAGCAATGCCTGCAGATGTGGGTATATTGCCGAACCATTTAGATACCGTGTTAAATGTTTTTCCTTTCCTACAATTATCACTCTGTGTATATTTGATTATCGATCCCAATGATTAGTTCTGTGTTTAGAACTTGAAGTCACTGTAATTAGACATATATTTATTTTTTTGTACTTCTTGTCTTGTCTGGATGGGCTTACCATGCAGAATATGCCCCGGCCTAGGGGTGCAGATGCTGCCGGTTTGTTACTTAGAGAGTTAGAACTCCATCCTCCTGCTGAAGAATGGCATAGACGGAATACATTTGGTGGACCCTGGTCTGATCCGGATGATCTGGGTGTCGATGATTCTTCAAGGCTGAGCACTTCCACGGATTTGCTTAACTTCAGCATGGTTGAAAGTAGTGATGTTCACCATGAAGCCCAACGCTTGTGGCCAAGAAAGCGCAGAATGTCAGAGAGAGATGCAGCTTTTGGGCTGAACACTTCGGTTGGTTTGGGAGCATATCTTGGGATAATGGGTTCTCGGCGTGACGTGGTGACTGCTGTATGGAAAACTGGTCTTGAAGGAGTTTGGTACAAGGTATGATCCCTTCCCCCCCCTCCCCCCCCTCTTCCCCCAGTGATGCCTTAACATTTATGATAATTTTTCTAGACTCTAGTTATTTGCAGTTGGATATTTTTTATGTTACTTGACCTTATGGAGTTATGGGAACTTAGAAAGTGTATTATAGAAGACCGATTTTTGTTTTCATGATCCTGACCCGAGAGCTGCATTGGTGAATTCATCTCTTCATGTCAGAATATAGTAATTCTTGAATAGGCATATCATATAGTAAGTGGGATTTAATAAAATTCAAGTGTCCATTAGTTAACCATGTATACTTTAGTTCACAAGCATGACTTTATTTCAGTTTATTTACTAATTAAACTCCTTTTGGTCTTCACTCTAATTTGTTGATTTGGACAACAATTGATTGGAACTGAGGCAACTCATAGGGCTGTAGGATCTAAATATGTGTGTGACTTGTTACTATTCGAGTTATGCATGTGAAAGAACCATGAAGTTCAGTGGTCACTTGTCTATTTTTGCCTCTGCTAAAATGCGGATTATCACTTCTTTTTGGGAAATGGTATGAAACTTGAGCCATTTAAGATCTAGTATTTCTGTTTTCTTGTGAAGAATCAAGAATTTTATTGTTTACCAACCAAATTGTATGAACATGCTAAAGCATAAACTGTTTGTTACATTTAATAAGTTAGTTTCGTGTGCATGTTATGCCTTTTTGGCAATATTTTAGTATTTTGTACATGCACATATGATTCGATATAATGTTCTTCTATATGCATCTGTTCTGTTTAAGAGGTACCTTTGCTTTTTACCAGTCTTTAGGGTCTGATTTTTATAAACGTACTTTAAATGGGTAAGTTTTTGTTTCTTTGTTACTGAATCCATGTAAGATGTATGCAGTGTATAAGATGTTTGCGGCAAACTTCAGCTTTTAGCTCACAAGGTGGCAACAACACATCTACACAGAGTGAGCGGGAGACCTGGTGGATCAGCCGCTGGGTTCATGGCTGTCCTATGTGTGGAGGGACATGGGTTCGTGTTGTATAGAAGACTGCTTCAGTTACACTCTAGGTTAGCACCTTGCTTCCAGTTTTATGTGTACTTCCTAAAATCGCTATTGCACACTACACTAGGAATGTTCCTTTTCTTGTAAATAACGTTTTATTTGTGTCGATAGAAATGTGGTTCCATACTGAAGTAAATGCAAGATGACTCGGATTCTGTTGTATCGAAATGGACCAAGTACCTGTCAAATAGTAAAAATTGCCATTTTGATAAGACGAAGGGAGCATGTATGCACATCTTGTTATTTGAATGCTATTTGCAGGTGCTGTTTAGTGTGTAATGAATATGAACATTGAAATGTAAATGTGTAACACTTTGCAAAATTTGAAGCTGAATTTCCAATTTAGAAGTAATTACAAAACATGGATGACCTTCCTTATTTTCTTATCAACACTTGCATTGAACATTTGGGTCTTTTGAGCGCGCACACACACACACACACACACACACACATATATATATATATATATATATATATAGAGAGAGAGAGAGAGAGAGAGAGAGAGAGGTCGGGAGGTTTAGGGGAAAACCCCCAAAAATTTGAAAAACTGAGGAACACCCAGGTAACCTTTCATCTGAATGTGGATACAAGTAATTGAAGTTGTTTCTTGGTTTTTATGCATGTGTGCATGTTATAGATTTGCATACCAGACAAATTGTTTCCAAATTACTTGTATGCACATGTGCATACCGTCCAGATAAACAGTTACCAGGGTGTTTTTCAGTTCTTCATTTTGTTGCGGTTTTCCTCACCGTATATATATGTATATTGAAATGGTTGCTGAGCATCCCCTGATCCAACTATTGCAGATAGCACATATTCCTGTACAAATAAATTTCAAATTTTACATCACTGTGCAATGCGAAACACGGGGTATCACACCGTGTTATTCTCAAGTCAACAAAAGCAAATTAATTCATGTTGGAGCTGTTGCAATAGAAGAAAGAAAAAGGTCAAAGTCATCAGGTACGAATTCTTTCCATTAGGGATAGGGGATTGGATTTTCGGAAGCCATAATGTATGAATATATATATATATATATATATATATATATATATATATAGCTGTATTGTAGAAGTACATACATCCTTGACATTATGCCCAAATATGAGAACATGAAATGCGAGTGAGATTGAAGCATCACGTTAGGCTGGTTTGGTAGCCCAAATCCTTCATTTACGTTGTTGGTATTTGTGCACAAGTAAAGTTTGAAAAACTATTATCATCGACTACTTTATGTTTGTATGAAAAAAAAAGTCAAATTTGATGCTTAAACGCATTGCAACTAAAAGCACAGATTTGAAAACAATCAATATGTTTGCCTTTTTTTCCACCTCATTCCTGTTAACGAATTTCATTCTCTAAAGATTTATGAACATACCAAATGTAATGATAGCCGAAATGCTATAAACATTTCCGACCAAACGGTATGACATTTACATCAAAAATCACAAAGGTGAGTACCTTCCATTACGCTGTTAAATCCATAACGACTAATGCAAATCCAAAATCAAGCTTTTATTATTCATGTAAAAGAACAAAATTATGTGCTAAGATATTACATAATTGAGCAGAAATATTTGAATCGAGGTGACTAACAGTCAAATTTACAATCCCAAAAAAAGTCAACCAAAACAAAAAGAGGAGAGATTTGTACATAAATGCCCATCAAAAAGAAAGAAAGAAAAACAACAAAATCATGATATCATCAATGAAAAAAAAGGAGAATGGTTGACTTTTGACTTTGGAAAAAAAAGGTAAAAATAGATTCAAGCCTCTTGGCTCCAAGCCCAATTAGCTTGACTTCCAACCCTTGGCATGCTTTTGGTCTTGGAATAGATATCGACCTTGAAAGTGGCTCCACACATTGCACCCTCACTATCAACCCTTGAGATTGCTTTCATTTTGTTCTTTGGATGCTCAAAGCTCTTCAATTCTCCTCCTGTATGGTATAAGCACCCTACAATGCATCCATACATTTACCAAAATTACCCTTTTGCCCTTCACTCTTTCTTTATGCATGCATACATACATACACACACATCAAAAAACAAATGAATCACATATTAGGGCATGTTGTTTTTATTATTTAAATTAGCTTATTGAACTTAATGGCTTATTGTTGTCAGAAATTGCTGAATTAGATGAGTCACCACATATTATTAGATGTCTATATTAAGTCGTCTTATTCCATACATGTAAATTATGTTTTTACGTCCTAAGAAAAATACAATTGCTACTGAAGATTATGACCTTTGCTTCTTTGAAAAATGTTACATGCTAATATTTTATCATTATTTTTGAACAATATTAACGTCCATTGAAATTGATGGTAACATATAAAGTATCAAGTTATTATAAATATATAAAAAGACAAAATTACCCTCACATACCAGTTGGAAAGGGAGCAAAAGATTTGGAACAACTAGTCTTTATAACCTCCAAATTGTCAGAAATTACGACAGAGCCATCGGCAGCTATCCCCCAAAAAAGCATCACTCTTCCATCATTACCCTGTTCGAAGTAAAAAAGTCAAAAAGGCCGTCCATAGTTTATTATATCCACCTTTTTCTTCAAAAAACTTACAAGTGAAATAAAGACAGTTTTAGCCTTGAAGTCAAAGACCACAAAACCAAAACTACCTTCGAGGTCCTTTAGGACCGAATGGGCTGGGTATGGGCCACGGTCTCGAAGGGTCTTGTAGGCTTGGATCACAAACATGGACTCATTTGCTCCCTTGTTGAGCCCATATTGCTTGTTAAGGGTGCACAAATTGTTCAAACTGCCCAAGAATAGGCAGTGGATGTCATCCACACTACTAAACAACCTACAAAATAGGTAAATATCTATGTTACACAAGGGTGAAATGTAACTGAAAAATAAAAAGCTCTCTTTTTACAAAACGGTAAATACATAAAAAGCAATGAGAATTTTCTCATTTCCTAATACGTAAAAGGTCTTTCCTATCATGTCGTGTAATACAACCTTTTACGCATATGGTTATAATAAAAACACATTTGGGTTTTGATTATGAAACACACACACACACACACACATACACACACACACGTGTATATAAAGGGAGGATCAAATGATAACAATGTCAAATTAGAGAACACACGAACTGCTAAATCACATGTGACTCCGGAAGACAGCCAAAGCAAGGGTGTGCGGCGACTTAGCCAGCGACCTAAGTTGTGTCGAAGGTCACACGTAATCACATGTGATTTTATACGCGAGTTTAGTGTAAAATCATATTTGATTTGACCGTTCTGTGTTCTTTTTTTGCTTATTATTCTCGTTTGAACCCGTAGAGAGAGAACCTTTGTGTATCCAAAAGAGAGTGAGAAGAATGAGCAAAGGCCAAGGAAGCATCATTGCCAAAGGACATGGAGGAAGCTTTGTTTTTATGATAAGACAAGAAAGTTTGAAGTGGGTTGTGATGATCTGGAGGGTTGGTTGCTGCAGGGCTGTTTAGCTCTTTTGGTGGACTCACCAATCCATTCCTGAATACTCCCAACATTCTTCAGTTCTCGATTAATCTTCTCTTAATTGATTTCTGAGTTATCAAACACCAACTCAAATCAATCAAATGTGTGTTTTATAAACAGACAACTCCCATAAACATAGGACCATTGGATGGTCTCAACATGTTTGTTTGTGTTTTTGGCTATTTATAGATACAGGATTAATTTGAGGGACAGAAATATGTTTCCAAAGATAGAAACCTCATCACACAACCCCAATTCTCTAGAGGTATTATTATGTCTTGGTTTCAAAATAGAAACTAATCTAAATCATGGTCACAAACAACAACAACTGATAATAACTACCGCTAGTCGGTTGGTCATTTTAGTGTGTTGTATATGAATAAAGTCTCTTGTCTCATCTCGGCTCTCGCCAATTACTTGAAAACGGGTCATCATTTATTTAATATACGTTTTCATTCTCCCTGTTCAATAAATAGATGATGTGGCTTTACATAAGTGGTAAACACGAAGGGGATAGAACTTTGGGACAACAAACTTTTACTCATAGGATATATGAACCCATGATCACATTAGGAAACTCACAATGACCCTTTTGCTTATCGAGTTTGTGGATTCTTGAGGCGTTTCTTTCCATATAATTTAAACTAGATAAAAGTAATCGGTATATCTCACTTGAAAGTAAGGTTTATGGAAGATAAACAATTAAGAATAGAAGCAAGCATGAGCGGGAATCCACAAAAGGTCAAGAAGCAATGTGGACTTTGTTGCACAAAATGGAGGGAGGGCAAAAGGGTGACCATAAGCTATTACAAAATCATCATGTTTATCTTTCTGTCAAATTTGCTATAGTTTTTAGAAATGATATAATTAGAAACTTTATCTTTGATTTTTGATGTGAAATTTCAATGAAAGGAAAAGGTATTTATTTTGAAGCTAATAATAATATGGGTAAAAGAATTTTTCTGAAATTCGAAATCAATAGTTTGGGAAGTCATCTTGATAACAGTTGTAAAGAGTTTATTGAACTAAAAAAAGGTCAAAACTCCACTCAATGTTTAAATCAATTTCATTTATAATAAATCCGTTTGAGAAAGTAACTAAAATACTAATGATTAAAGTTATTAACTTGTAAAGTACAAATCTATTACAAGTTTAAAAAGAAAAAAACTGATGAGTAATATATTATCTTTATTTTCTTAAAATTCAAAATTATATTCTAATAAACTTTTAAATTTCGCAACAAAATATTTATAAGCCTTGGCTTTTAGTTTTCCTATAAAAAATTTGAATTTAAGAATTAAGTTATAGAACAAAAAGATATATATATATATATATATA